TTAAAGATGGAACAAGACTGGGAGAAAATAATGTTGCTGAGAACAGTTTTGTTGTTGTCATGCTAACAACGGTAAAAGTTGTCTGTTGCTAGTTACTGGGCGTTCTGGAGGACGTCCTATATATGCCCTTCAAATTATCGACTTGCATCTAGATTTGTTTCCATGTGCTTGAATTACTCTCTCCATGTTTTCAAGTCTCTTCTGGACTAATGAGCCCTAATTATTTTAGCCTGAAGATATTTAGCAACAACATTTGGTTTTGAGAAACAACTCCTTAGTTGATTCTTTGATTTATACCTTTATAGACACATACTTGAAACATAAATTAAAGGGACACTCTTCATTGAAGTGGATGTATATTATAGCTGACCCAAGAAGTCTATGTAACGTGAAATTTGTTTCTTTCTAAATTGCAGCATTTTTTAAACAGTTACAAACAATGTTTTGAAAACCGAACTGGCCTTCCTGGTTCGACTGGAAAACCTAGTTTGGTTACATCATTTTAACCGGAGAAACAAAATCCGGGAAAAATCCGATAAAATAACAGGTTCAACCGGATATGGTTTTACTAGTTTTTGGAAAAAATAAAAAAAATTTAGAGATAAGATCTCCAATGGTACTTCTTTGACTTGCCCAAGTGATGTGAAAGACTATTGTTTATATGCACATTGATATCTAGAATAAGCTTCTTGAAATAAAAAAGAAGGAAGAAGTCGCCGAATAAACTGAGAAGAAGTCGCATGAAAAAAATGAGGAGGCAGCACTTTCTTCATGAAATGGAATAGGTTTTTAGGTTTATAGCATAATTGGGCCTACCTATTTCATTTGTAGCTTATGACTTTTTTGGGCCCATTTAATTTTGTGTAATGAAATGGTTGTTAAAAAATAACTAACAGATGAAAAAACATAAAATACTCTTAAACTTAATTTTTTGAAAAGTATATATCTATATAGTAATTTATATTTTAAATAGTATATATTCAAATAAAATTTCATTTAATTAATTCATTTCGAGGTCGACCCTGGTTTAACCTTAGTTTGACCCTTTGACCCTTGATCCTCTTCTTTTTCTGAGTCAATCTTCGATCAGGTTTCAAAACATTGGTTACAACAACAATTCTCAAGGTTACCACTAATTTGATCAAATTAGCATCGAAGTAATTTCATATTAAGTTTATAATTGTATTTAAGTAATCAATCCAATTTTCAGCAGGAAAATATCAATACCCTGAAAAATAAAATTAAAAATTCAGATGAAAGGATGTCAAAAAGCATAAAAACTTATTAAAGAATTTCTGGACTCATTGCTCTTTGTGCTTTTTTGTGCTTCATTGTAGAGTTTCTGTTGTTTTCTAATAATTTCATTAATCTTTTTAGTCTGAAATGTTTTAGAATAAGGGCTCATCAGGTGAAGGTTCAACAACATTAACTGGACCTGCCGTGAAGGTAATATCATATATGTTTAATAATTTTTTGTTGTTTGTTTATTTGTTCACATTCTTTTATTGCTGTTTATATGAATTGGATTACCATTACTGTGATATGCTATCCTCTGATCTGATGGAATATCTTTTTTTGGTGCATTTGAAATTTTAGCTGATCTGAGTTGCACTTAAGTCTCTAGAAGCTTCTAGCATCATTTCCCTAACATTATTTAGTTTCCAGCAAATGGAATGAAATTTGTTTATTAATTTCTATGATGATACATAGAAATTTAATTTTTAAATGTTCTCTATCAAAGTTTTGTAGTTGCATCAAGACTATCTTCCTGAGAATGCCATTTAAAATGTTTGTTCATTTCCCAATTTCCATCTGTACGCAAACATTTCTTATGCGCTTAAACAATTTTTTATTCTAGTATATGCACATTCCAGCACTAACAAACAGTGTGCACACAGCGCATGGTTCCCCATCATATTTCTATAGAACCTCGACAATATTGATTTTCTACCATGGAAATCCGATTACATATTAGATAATTGTTGTAGTTAATGCAGATGTTATGGCAGTGAACGAAGCTAGTGCTTGAGTTTGCCTTTTATAAAGTGAATGTCCGTTTCTTCAAGCTGTTGCCAAAGATAGGTTCCAAATAATTTTGTTATTTGATGCTCTCAGAGCAGAGAATTATTGGCTGATGCTTATTCGATCGCTGTTTTACTTTACCCTCTTATGATTGAATTATCTCGGCGAATTATAAAATTTATACCTATCATGTTACTGGAGTTAGTTTTAATTCAGGTGAGTCTAAAAGTGTTTCCCTCGTTGGCACAGCCGATGAGTGCCACGCCTCCTACTTCAGCTCCAACATCAACAGCACCTCAAGCTTCTGCTGCGGCGTGAGTTTTAGTTTACTTACCTAAATATTGTGCACTAGGGATCCTCAAACACTATGCTCTCTCCCTTCCTTTAACTCTTTGTGGGTGTATGGAATTCCTTTTTATTTTAATATGATCCATTCATAATTCTGTACCTTGCAGGCCTGCACCTGTACCCGCTCCTGCATCTGCTCTGGTTTCTCTTCCTGCTCATGCTCCTCCTGCTACTGCTTCTGACTTGTGAGCATCCCTCAAATGAGACTTTGACGTGCATGATTTTCTATCATGCAATAGTCATGAGTAGTTTTGTGATTCTTGATTCTTCCATTAATATTTGATGGTTTTCCTGTGCTAGATCGGATGTCTATGGCCACGCAGCTTCTAATTTAGTTGCTAATAACAACTTCGAGGGCACAATCCAGCAGATTCTTGATATGGGTGGAGGAACTTGGGACCGAGATACAGTTGTCCGAGCTCTTCGAGCGGCTTTCAACAACCCTGAGAGAGCTGTTGAGTATTTATACTCTGTGAGTGTCAAATTTCTATATATAAGTGCATTTCCATTCTTCACTTGGAACCTTTTATATACACTAGCACTTAAATCTTCTGTAATTGTTTTGATATTTTCAAGGAGTTCACGAGAAATAGGTTATACAACTGAGCGCAGCATTTCAACAACATTACACTATTTGAGAATAAATCTTCAATATGTTATGAAAGAGGTGGATGCAGAAATATCTGTTATATCTTTTCCCCTTGGTGTTTTTCGTAGGGTAGGAGTGAATGAAGGCTAAGGTGGGATTAAATCATTTACTTGAGAATAATTGCTCTTAGAAGTTATTTATTTCATAGTTCAGAGTTGATGAATCAAATATCATGTAATGGCTGTTAGAAAGAATTAATTCAATGAATCAACGTAACACAAATTTCAATTTTACTATCAAATTGAAAATAATGATTCAATGATTGAAATAATTTGTTGACAATAAAATTTTCAACTATATGAAATGGGTCAAACTCAAATTAAATGGACTGTCTGAGATAGTTAAGTTACTCTTACAGGCTTTAAATAACTAGTTTATTTCATAATGTACATGCAGTAAACAGCTTATGCTGGGAGAGAGTTTGCATTGGTTTATGCAATCACTTGGACACCTAAAGTTTCGCCCAAGCTTAATGAATGGTCAATTGCAGTTACATAATTCAACATCTTGTTCCATTTTGTGATTTTTTTTCTCTTTAATTCGTTTCCTGTCATGAGTAGGCTCTGGTCAGTCTTTTTAACATTTTCTCTGCGTTAGTATTCTGTTGTCTACACTAGATGTGGAAGATAGAAATTAATGACTGAAGTCCAAGTAAATTTATTTATTAACTCAATCTTTACCCTGAAACCGGAATGTCTGTTGGATCGTTGTGTGTGAAGTTATTGTGGGGGCAAAAAAAAAAAAAAATGCAAAAGCAGAGTGGGATAATATTTTTCGTCTTCCGGAGCATGATTATTACAGAATAGGGTGACAGAATATCAAGTTATGCACATCTCTGGAATATATAGAGGAAAGTTTTCCCCAAATGCATATTTTGCATATGTACGACAAAGTGCAGTAGCTTGAAAAGTTGTTAAAATGACGTCATTTCCTGGAATTTGATTTCTAAAACACTGTTTCTTCTGATCTGATTTTTACAGTAGATACTTCATTGTAATTCATCATTCTAAATAAAAAATGGAAAACCTGATCATTANAGGCTGATTTCCTTCGCCTTATCAATGAACCTGTTGAAGGTGGAGAAGGGTAAGTTTGTTGTGTTTCTGGAACGATTCTTTTATTGTTAGTTGTGTGTGGCACAACTGTGTTTCATATGCTGTTATGTTTTTAATGTGATATCAGTAACATGCTAGGGCAGCTAGCTGAAGCTATGCCACAGGCTATAACAGTTACTCCTGAGGAACGGGAAGCCATAGAACGGGTAAGTGCAAGCCAAACTGTGACTTGATTTTTTATTGTTTAGGTTGGGAGTACGTTTCAGAAATCTAAGTGACTTTTTCGAAGTGATTCATGCGGGTCTTGTGCAAAGTGTCTTATTGCAGTATGCTAAGGGAATGTGCTTTCTTCTTCACAAAATCAGGACCCAACTATGCGGGAAATGAGGAACAGGCATTTCCTGTACTAGGTTAACAGTATTTTATGGTTACATAAAAAATTCGCATAGAAACCATTACTAATAATTTTAATTGAGAAACCAAAAGAAATATGTTAAAATTTAGAAGAAATATAAAGTAAAAATGCAAGAAAACCGAGCCCTGGTTCTTGATTTTGAGAAGGAACCATTCTATTCTCTCCATTAATATGTTTAAATTTACCTTTCTTGAACTGGAGTTCTCTTTCATTGTTTGTTCACAAAGCATTGTGGGTGCACGTTGAGGAATGCCTCATCAACTAGTCTATTTAATCCTTTAGGTCATAATGTGATGTGACAATCATTCAGTTGTTGATGTGAAAGTGTGAAATTTGAATTAAATATTGGATCCAGTGCTACATGTAATTATGGACACAATTATGTACATGTAACACTTCTCTTGAAGGAAACTTATCATCTATTATTGAATTGCTGAAGGTGTAGTCGAGTGGTTGTTTTTGTGTCTCTTATTAAGTAAGCAAGGAGATTGTCCTTGCTCAGTGGTAACATTGGTCCATAGCAATTTTGGTACAACGCTTGAAGAAAGAGTAACAGTTTCTCTGTACTTGAGATTAGAGCTGCATTCAGACTTTGTTGTACGGATACTTCAACTATGGTCGCATGTCTATGTCCTACACTTCTCGAACATTTTACCATAGTCATTTTCCTTTTCTTTTTTTTAAAGAAATATTATATATTTTGACTTTAAGTAATTTTTTAATAACAAATAGGTACTGGTATTTAAAGATTTCAACAATAAAAATTAATAACAAGTATAATATTGAATTTATATTATATAAATAAATTTTTTAATGAATTTAGTTAATGTGTTGATGTGTCGTGTCAGTATTTTTTTCGAAAAATTGCTCGTCGACTTATCCGGCACGTGTTTTGCCAGACATGTTTGCGTTGGTGCATCATAGCGTTCAAATAATTGCAATTGCAATTGCAAGATCGTCGTGCAGTAGCTGGGGCTTTTCTGCAACAAAAAATTTGGTCTCTTGTGCATTCGAACGCCAGTGTATAGGGCTGAAATTTTTGCCATTGAAATTGAAGCTTTTAGACTTTTTGTCTGATTATGTTACATGATAGGCAGACGCATGACTATGCCAATTTGACGATTATGCTATTCATTTGGCTCCCTCCATGTATTTCCAGCTCGAAGCGATGGGGTATGATCGAGCACTTGTTTTGGAGGTGTTCTTTGCCTGTAACAAGGATGAAGAGCTTGCTGCGAACTACCTCTTGGATCATATCCATGAATTTGAAGAATGATGATGCCGATTGTTGATGGACCGATCTCTTTGTTGTAAACCTTCTCTCTTTAAATAATTTGTAAGTTTATTTTCTTTTTCACACTTCTTTTTTCGACTGCACGTAGTGAATTTATATGAACGATGACTATTGGTGGGAGAGCACATGAATGTACATTAAAATTAAAATCTATTAATCTGTTTTTATCATCAATTGATTGGCGATCTAAGTACTTATTTAAGTATCGGGATCAAACATTGAACTCCAGAAAGCAAAAACAAACGGGCAGTGATTGGTGTACCATGTAGGGGTTCACAGAACCCCTATAGGGTGGGTGTGTTTTTTGACATTATTTATTCATGCGGGGTCCACACTTTGTGAGATATCTGTAAATTTTCTGTAAGAATCTTTTCTGTACATCAAACAATTTCCAAAAAAATAACTCTGCGATTGCAATGGGTTGCCCCATGAGATCACATAGTTTTTTTCCGGTCAGACTTGTCCCCATTATATACAAATCATTCAAGCCATAGAAGCTCTGGAGATACAAAATTCATAATTCTTGAAGCCAAGAAGGAAGCTTTTGATCTTCAAATTCATATTCTTTTCAAGCTTTATTAGAAGATTTGCTACAAAATATATACATATCTGCTTTCGATATTTCTTGGATTGATAAAGAGAAATCAAAGGCGATCAATCAAGGAGCCATTGAAGAGATTCAAGGCTTTAAAGATTTATTTCCATTTTTCTGTTCAGAACTTTATTTCAGGGTGATGTTGTATAAATATCAACTGTATTTTTGTACTTAATTGGATGCTTGACTAATTGTGTAGATGCTAATTTAACGTTGAATCCTACCTTTTGAATTTTTTGATATTCAATTCCAGATTTTGACATTAAACCCCTAATTGATTTTGAATGATTGGGAGTACTTCAATGTTTTTTCAATTAATTGACTAATTGAATTGTTTTATGATTTCTCTCAACATTTGAGAGAAGGAATATTGATTTGGCGCTTAGTAACAATCACTGTAAAGTCCGATAGAGAATATAAACATATCAATATATTTTGCCTGATCCATATAAATATTTGTGGAAATTATGCAGGATATCCTAATTAAAATACTAATTCCATTGTTACATTTCCACATTTGTTTTACCAAAAGACTTTCCTTAATCAAAATCCCTTTTTCAAGCCTTTAACATCTTCCGTGATTCATTCGAGTTTCCTTTGATTGCATGTGGTTTCCATTTTCAATTGTTATCGTACTAGAAATTCTAATCCCTAAAGTCAAGATTCAATATCTTGTGTTCTATATATTGTACTTTATCTTGAAAAATATAATCCTAAATCAGTCTTTATCTGCAAAAGAGTTCAAAGAGGGTTAGTAACATTAGATTTAACTTTGAATTCAAATAAGAAAGCAACTTATCAATGGAAATCCTAGGTATTTTTCTCAATTTTTATTGGATTATGTTTTTCCTTTTTTTTTAATCAGAATTTATTATAATGCATCACATTCTAGTGATGGCTACGTGAACTCCATTTCTCTAAAATCCAATGGTTTGCTAGAATTTATATTTTGTACCTAGGCTGTTTTTGTCCTTGTAAACTTGGATCTTTTGAACTTTTTAGTTTGTCATAATTTGTGTCTAATGTTCCCAATTAATGTGTCATCTGTGATATGTATAATGAGATGTTTTGAAATTAAAATATGTTATCCTTTACTTTTTGGTTATCAACGAATATCTATTCAAAATTGTTTTAGGTATACTATTTTATTAGCTTTGTAACATAATTTGTTTAATTACATTTTTATTGCAAAGTTAGCAACAAACATAGGTATAGCTTTCTATTTGATACATTATTATTATTATTATTTTTCATATAACAGTGTATTAGAATTTATTTTTTATTTTATTTTATTTTATTTTTATATATGAAATTAATTACACGTTGCATAGTTGTGAGCATTTTAGTATCATATATAATATGTCACGTTACTATTGTACATGTCATTGGTGAGTAGGTTTAAAGCATTGGTATGTTATCATTCACACTGTGTGAACTTTTTTCTTTTGCTAATTAAGATGCACATCAAACCATATTTAAATATTAGTTTTTGTACAAATGTGTTTTAAGGACGTGGGATGTTTGTATTTTAGTCATATATTGTGGTTTCATTTTATCATATGATATATTTTAATTTTTTATGACTGTCCATGAACTAAGTTATGGTTTAATTTAGCATGTTTCATAACATATTTGTAATTTAGCTGAACATGATATCTAACATATTTATCCTTATATTTGATTATGAGACGTTACAATCTTAGTTGAGCGCATATATATTGTTAATTATGTTTCTAACATCATTATTTGTTGCTTAATTTGCAGAATCCTGCCAACAAGTTTCAGGGTTGAATTATGATTTTTGCACCTAATGAAATCATTATCATGTTGAAATCAAAGCTGATCAACAAGCAAAATCATTTCCAGTCCATGTCAGTCTCCATCACAAGATAGACTTATCTTTGAAATTTGAAAGCGGCCTCCAATAATTGTGTCTTTATTTATAATCTGCATAGATATTGCTACCATTTTTTTTACATTTTTACGTTCAATCAACTTTCTAGCGTACTACATGTAAACTCTACAAAATGTAATCAACATTCATCTAAAATATATACATAAAAATATTGAGAGGGAGAAAAATGAAATTATATTTTTTGGTCAAAATTTATTTATTTATTTATTTATTATTATTAATTTTTTGGTGGCCTCTATCTTCAAAAAAATGAAGTAAGAATTAATTGGTTCAAGCAAGCACCAATGCACATAGTCACTGGACAAAGTCATTCCTAAGTAAACAATGCCAATATCTAGGGGGTGCCCATCTTGCCCCTATAGCATAGCTCTGATCCATCTAACTAATCTATGTCTCAATCCCTTCTTATTGCCTCTCTTTTTGTGACCTTATATTTCTCCAATTGAGTCCCTTCCAAAACAAATCTCATTTCTTCTTAATGGCAAGCATTCCAATCCCCATTTCTAAAGTGGGATGGTGTAGAAGTCCTTAAAAAAACATAAAAACTAATTCCACTGTAGATATGAAAGTTGTCTTGAGCGCCCTATGGCAACCATAAATCCAAAAGTTGGTGATATTTGGAATTTGGCAAAAGTTGCAACTCACGAGCTGGAGCTTCTCATAACACATGGCCGGTTGGCGAAAATATTTCCTGGTGCCCACAATAACAGTTAACTTCATCAACTTTGTTGACGTAGAGATTGGATACATTAGGAATGTCATCTTTGGAAAATGAGAAAGGGTGACCATAATAGGGAAATGTGAAGCTGTAACTCAAGTATTTGGGAACCATCGAAATGTTTATAAGGAACGGCAATCAAAATTCCACCTAAAATTAGAGAAGAAATTCACGTCAAATATTAATTTGTTGTTCAGTTCCATTCTTTCTAAACATACCCAATATGTTCAATGTGTAATGTGTTAATCTATATGATAAAATATGACGACATATGCTAAATTTTATAAATATCAAATGTACAAGTAATAAACTAGACAAGAAGCATACACAATAATGGAAAAAAAATTAAATTCAATTGCAAATGTAGCAAGCAGGACATATTGTTTCCAATATTATCAGTCAAGAGGATAAATAAAACCAATCTAATCCAAGGGATGCTTTTCATTTTGGAAAATCTGTATGGAAATATGAAAAAAAAGTAATATAATGTTGGAATAATCTGAATCGACTTGACTCAACCCTCATTTTTTGAACCCATTTTTAAGGAATTCGGAAAAAAATGGAAAATTTCAAAAGAAATATTTTCTACTCATTTTAAGAAAAAAGAAATGTAATGCTTAAAAGATCTTGAACATGACATCATGGGTAAGTTGCTTCTCCTTAGTCCTTTATCATTTTATGTAATGTATCATTCGATGATAGTTTGTGATCGCCAAATCACTCTAATTTACAAGATTTGGACATCTCAAACACTACTTTATCTTCCAATTATTGATGTAAATGGAGATCTGAGATGAAGTTCATGATAGAATCAAACAAAATATTCACAGAGAAAATCTGAGTTTGCAATTGACGTAAATTATCAAACAACTTAAACCCATTAAATTGTACGATAACAGAAGACAATTGAATTAGAAAAGAAATTACAAAACTAATGATGGCAAATAATAATTCATACAAACTATTCCATTATACAACAAGTTATCACTCTTTCCAACAACTTTGATCACGTGTCTTTAACTTCTATTCTATATGCGAAAGAAATTTTAGATCACAACAATAGTAAGAAAAAAATAGTGTTTGTTATCTCGAAGTTCAACAAACCCACACCATGTTTCCTCTACATGGTTATATTTTGAAATTTCCATGGTTCTCAATTGAGCTAAAGATTAGGAATTGTAATTAATGGCGGGCTATTCTTGGGTTTTTGTTACAAAGAATGAGAGGAATTTACGGAACCAGTAATTTTGATGTACTTTTGCTTCATATCCAGTATTTATTAAATTATAAAATAATGGTTAGCATTTGTTGAAATATTTTTATTTACTTGGTTATACATGATTTTTCCCTAAATATTTAATGATTTAATGCATTGTTGCATGTTTGCATTTTTCATAGAAATGTAAGAAGATCACATGTGAGCATATATTTAGTTATATTAAAAAAAGATTATATGAATTAGAAACATTGATCTTCGTACCCTAATAGGTATTGACATTGTCTTGGAATTAGTATATTACAACACGAAGTAACATGCTTCAAGATTTTTAATGAAGGATGATCTAATCTAGTGTAGTCTTGAAGCAGCACTTTGAAGATCATTCACATAAAAAGAAATATTGTTAAGAGATACAAAATTGTGAAATCGAGATCAAAATTTCTTCATACTAGGTACACAATGAATATTATTATGGTTTAAGTATGAGTAGAGGTGGGCAATAAATTGGAACTGGTGCCATCGAGGATCATGATGTTGTTGGAGCTATTGT